TGGTACCAGATGTCCTCTACAGGCTCCAATGGACTGACATATCCTCGGTGTGTCTCTGGGTGTGCTGTCCACTGCACCTTCTTCCGTAACTGAGGAGGCCCAGCTCTGATGCATGCACTCCGTGATCAGACCACGGATACTGTGATTCTCCCCCAGGATTGGAGTTCTGAGTTGAGTAGTTCAGTTGGGGGAACCTCAAAGAAATCTTGTCTGAGGTTATCTCAGACCTGACCCTTTTGTGCACCGATCAGTGTGGGATCCAGTTCATTCTGTCACTCACATCAGCCTGCACACACACTGATAGTTGCAACTGCTAGGTCAGCTCTAAAAATCCAGCCCTGTCTCTTATGCAATCAGGTGGGTGCGGTGACTGGACTCTGCAGGATACTGGGCTGGGCAGTGGCGCAAAGACCATGTGCTGTCACAAGAATAGGTAGAACATGGCCATTTGTGACTTCTCCTTTATGCAAATAGCATGCTAATCTCGAATTCCGCCTGCCAACCCTCTATAGAGCAGATGACGAAAACACAATTACTGGGTCCAGAGGCTGGTGCTATGGTGTAGTAGGTAGAGCTACTGCCTGTAGCACTGCTATCTTATATGGGTGCCAACCTGTGTCTTGACTGTTCTACTTCCCATTCATCCCCCTTCTTAGGACCTAGTAAAGTAGTGGAGGATGGGCCACTGCACCCACATGGGCGACCCAGAAGAAGTGCCTGGCTACTTGGCTCCAGCTTGACCTGGTCCTGACCATTGTAGCCACTTGGAAAATTAACCAGTGGGTGGAAGATCTCTCTTTCTCTCTCCCTCATTTCCCTCGCTGTAACTCTGCCTTTCAAATACATTAAAAAAAAAAAACTTTTTTTTAAAAAAATTATGTGTCGATGGCAGTGTGATAACTTAATGGATGGCTAACTCTCTGCTTGCAGTATTCCATGTGAGTGCTAGTTCATGTCCTGTCTGCCCCATTTTGCATTAATCTCCCTGCTTGTGGCCTGGAAAAGCAGTCAAGAATGGCCCAAAGCCTTGGGACCTTATACCCATGTGGGAGACCCAGAAGAAGCTCCTGGCTCCTGGCTTTGGATCAGCTCAACTCTGGCTGTTGTGGTCACTTGGGAAGTAAACTAGTAGTGGAAGATATTTCTTGCTGTCTCTCCTTCTCTGTAAACCTGCTTTTCCAAGCAAAATAAATAAATCTTAAAAAAAAAAACTATTGGTCAAAGATACCCAAAAGATCTTTCTAAAACTGACTGCATTACTCCTACCAACACAGAGACTTCCCCAGAACCTTCAGTGCCAGTTCCTGGGTCTGACCCCTGCTGGCCCAAAGTGGGTGCTGGGGAGCGAGACACAGCTGCTTTCCCCAGAGATGCTGTGCAGTGAATGTCCAGTGCAAGGTGAGGCCTGCTCTTCCCTGCTGCTGGCACAGGGGAAAGCTTTGCCCTGGTACCCATGGAAGAGCGTAAGCAGGTGCTTGTTCTGAGTATGTGACACAACAAGGTGACCTTGACACGCCAGGGGGCGCTAAGACCTGAGACTGGAGAGGGCTACATGGAGAAGAGAGCTGGTTCCAAATGGGGAACTACAGCTGCAGCCCTGCAGGGGGTCAGGGCTGGCTGCAGTTCTCCTTGGTTTCTTGCAGCCCATAGGGGCAGAGCAATGGTAAGCCCCAAGGCCCCATGTGAAGGGGAAGAAGGTGTGGCAACACTGTTAGCAGTGTGGGAGGTGGGACATATGAAACTCCTGGGCTGGGTTTCAGGGTGAGATTGAGGTCCCAACTGAGCTCAGGCTGGCAGAGCCCTGGACTAAGAACCAGTTCCCTGGCTCCTCACCTCCTTGCCCACCAATGGGGTGTCCAGAGGTCAGGAGGTAGAAACCAAAGGGTGCTGTGGGTGGACCTACTTGCCTGCAACCCTCCCAGGAGCCCTGCAGCATGGTGGGGTGTGGGGTCATAGATGCTTGCTTGAGGCCTAAAGGAAGAAGGGCCGATTGGGTGTCTAGCCATCATCTCTGAATAGTTAGGGGAAGGGACTGTGGTATCTCTATGGACACCCTGAGGCTGTCAGTGTGGAGGGCCGGACCTGGCTGGCCTTGTGGGCTCTATTGCTGTTGGTGACAGGTGGCTGTACTCAGCACCTGATGTGGGGAAGGGGATGTGTGGGGTGTCACTCAGGATACCCATGGATCCACCAGGTGGCAGAGAATTCGTTCTGAACCTCAACACCCAGTCCACACCTCCTGCCACCCTGAAGGCTCACAGAAGGCAAGTCAGGATGGATTATTGGCCAGTTGGACACACTGGGGCTTCTGGCTGCCCCTGAGCCCTGCAACCCAGGCACCTGTACCTGATGACTTCAAGCCCTCAGCTGCATGTTGAGATGTCACCTGGCACTGAGCTGGGCCTCAGGGGTGCGGTCCAAGGTAGCACCTGGGACCACTCAAACCTACCACAGGCACAGGTGCTGCCCCGTAGAGGCCCTGAGGGTTGCCTCATCTGGCTGGCATGGTGGGGATTGGAACCAGGACACCAGGAGGATGGAAGCCCCCCTGCAGGGAAGGGCCTATGTCCTGGAAAGGCTGAGGAAGGTTATAAGCAGGTTCTGAGGCTGCACCTGGAGAAGGGGCACAGCCATTTGAGGGTGCTCACTTCCTCGGCCACAGGGAAGCCTGATGCCCAGCACCTGGTGGGAAGTCAGGGCAGGCTCCGGGTCTCTTGGACCATTTCTGGAAACACACAGAGCCATGTAGCCATGTCAGGGCCCGCTGTGAGATGCCTCATTGCAGCCTACTCCTAGAGTGGGACAGGGTGGGGAGACCCAGAGAGCCTAGTCTCTCTACCCCGACATTCTTCCCTGATATCTGCCATGTCCTGGGATGCTCAGGGGCTCTTGGTGGGCTGGGGGGGTGAGTGGCGTGGCTGCTGTCAGGATGTACCTCCAGGCGATTGGGTGGACAAGCTGGGGAGCAGCGTGCTGGGCAGTGGGCACAGCCTGTGCCAGGCCACAGAAGCAGCAAGTGCAGTGTGTTCTTAGCCTTGAGGCCTCAGCCCCACCTCTGCTAGTACCAATGGGATTCCCCCTGTTTTCCCAGCTACCCTCAGAGTTTAAATTGTGCGGGGCTCAGAACTGCTCTCTCTGATATCCTAGCCTCATGTTTTCACAGCCAGGGATGAAGCTGGGGCTTGGCTCTAGGCTCCTGGAGCTGGGAAAGGGGCTGCACAGGTGAGTGGAGGGCACCTTGGCCGATTGCCTCTTTTACCCTACCATGCTCCCCTGAGCTCAGGGTTCCAGGAGTTGTGCACAGGTTCCTACATGGAACTGCTCAGGAGTGAGCAGATGGGGCCAGGATTGGTGTGTCCTTGGCCCTGTCCCTGCAGCCGAGGCCAGAGACAGCCTTCTGGCTGGAGCTGGGCTCTAGCAGGTTCCATGGCACTTACCACCATGCTCAACCTAGTGTCTTTTGTGCTGCTTGCCCCCATTTCTGCTGGGCAGTTGCCCAGTGTGACCAGGAGCCAGGGCAAGATCCCACTAATACCAGCAGCCTTTACTAATATGGCCCAAGAATGCCAGGAGCTGAGGAAGGCATTGGGTGGTGGTAGAATGAAGGAATGTTCTAGTCAATTCCTGGACCTTCAAAGCTTCTAGGGTTTGATTCCCAGGCCTCTCCTTAACCCTGGCAAGTCTGGTGGAAGCTGGATGAGCTCGAGTAGGGATGGTAGTTGTGCTCTGCTGGGGGCCTGGTTCTTGCTCTTGTCCAGGTCTTGTTTGTCTTCCCCTGGGATCTCAGATGAAAGGGACAGGTAGCATGCTAGGTACAGAATTCCCCCAGCTCTGCCAAGTTGCTAGATGCTAAGGTCCTGGGGGATGAGGTGGCTTGAGGAACCCAGTGGAACTGGCTTCTGTTTGCTGTCTCCACCTATTCCCCCAGATCTGGGATCCCAGGTCAGGAGAGCCAAGTCTGGAACTAAGCAAGACATAGTCCTTAAAGGTGCTAGCCAGGGTGGGTCGGTGACCTCAGCACGCCCAGGCGGCAGGTGCTAATCAGGAGAGCAGGGCACATCACACCCTGTCTGCCTGGCTGGGTGAGATTCTGGCCACTCCACAGCCCAAGCTGTGAGGGGTTGCCCGTACACATGGGTGGCGGTCCTGAGAAGACTGCACAGGGAATCCAGGTACCTTCTCTGTTTCATCGTTCCTTGCTGCATAAGGGGCACCCATTCAGCTGTTACTTAGTAGTTAGGCCTCAGCCCTGTGGGTATCATGAGGGCTGTACAAATGGCACATAGCCACCAAGGCCCCTCCTGGACCTGCAGAGTTAGGAAGTCCTTCTTCCATCAGTCAGAGCTGAGACAGACCCAGGATAGACACAGATGTGCGGAATGTACCAACATGTGTTTATACCAACTCTCACGCTGACAAGGGGCTGGGTGGCAGGGCGGTGATGCACGCACTGCAGATTCTGTGACTCCTAGTGGTGACACTGATGGTGTCTCTGCTGTCACCATTGCCTGTCATCAGCATGGTCCAGGAAAAGCAGTGCCACGGGCCATGGGAATGAGCCGCTGGGAAGCATGGAGTTGAGCTGGCCAGTGGTGATTCATACACTGTGGACTCTGATTCCCAGTGGTGGCGCTGATGCATCTCTGCTGTCACCATCAGCATGGTTCAGGAAAGGGAGGGCCATGGGCTGTGGGAACAGGCTCACCAGCAAGTGTGGGGTGGAGCTGTCAGTGGACTCTGAGCTAGCACACTGCGTGTCCCACCATGATGCCCACTGTTGTGGCTGAGGCTTCTGGGCCACCTAGTGACAGGCTGTGGTGTCTGCCTCCAAGGCACATGTCATTTGCTGACCTTGCAGTCTCCCCTGCCCAGGATGGGCAGGCCCCAGAGTACAGCTGCCCGCATGTGTCTTCTCGGACCAAGGAGGTCTGACAAAAACTCTCTGGTGCCCGTGTGGATCCTGGGTCTTAGTTTGCAAAGTAAGGAGGGGCTGCCCGGGGTGGGGCGCCTATGGGCCTCTGCTGGTTCCGCGTCTTCCTCCTCCTTCAGTTCAGCACCACTCATGTCTTTCCCAAAATAGAAGATCTGCAGGTTTCAACAGGAGAGCCAGCCCTGCAGTTAGACTACCAGCCCACAGTGATGAGGGGCCTCCCCATCCTTGCTGGGAGTCATTTCCGACCCGTGTTGGCCTCTGTTAGCAGATGCTGAGTGCCCCTGGAGGCGGTCACCAGCCACGGGTGGATTTGGAGGGAGAGGGTCATGGGCCCAGCCTCTTTTCCCACTCCCACCCTGAAGTTCTGCCCCTCCGCCAGCACTGTGTCCTTGGCCTGATCTTCTCTCCTCCAGGGACTTCTCTTCTCCAGGGGCTGGCTGGATTCCAGGAAAGCTGATATACTGAATATCTTTATCCTGGCCTTTCACACTCTCCCCATCCTCCAATCCTGTCACCAGTCTTGATACCAGACTCACCTTAAGGATTTCCATCTGTCTTTTTCTGTTTGGTTCTCTGGGCTCTCACTTTCATAAGAAGCCAAATAAAGACCTAGACAGAACACAGTGAAATTACGCAATCGCAGTTAACAAGGATAACCGACTCTACATCCAGTGCCTGACCTGCTTGTGTTTTTAAAGTTCTTTTTGGGAGAGAATTGGAGATCCACATGTAATTGTAAGAACTAACACAGAGATTCTGTGGACATTCTTACATAGCTTCCGTGATTGCTGACCACTTGCAAAACTGTAGTACAGTATAGTATGGGATAGGCCATGGCCTGGGCATCAGCACAAGCACAGGCAAGATTTCTATCACCACAGGCTTCTGCTGAAGCCTTTGATACCCACACCCACATCCCTCCCACAAAGCTTTCTTAACCCACTAATTCCTTCTTCATTTCTATATGACATCATCTCAAGAAGGTTATATAGGGCCTGGCGGTGTGGCCTAGCGGCTAAAGTCCTTGCCTTGAGTGTACCGGGATCCCATATGGGTGCCGGTTCTAATCCCCACTGCTCCACTTCCCATTCAGCTCCCTGCTTATGGCCTGGGAAAGCAGTCGAGGACGGCCCAAAGCCTTGGGACCCTGCACCCATGTGGGAGACCTAAAAGAAGTTCCTGTTCTTGGCTTCGGATAGGCGCAGCAACACCGGCCGTTGCGCTCACTTGAGGAGTGAATCATCGGATGGAAGATCTTCCTCTCTGTCTCTCCTCTCTGTATATCTGACTTTCCAATAAAAATAAAATAAATCTTAAAAAAAAAAAAAAGAAGGTTATATGGAGTTGTCCCTTGATGGGAAATTGGGTTCAGGATCTACAGAGAGCATAGTTCATAGATGCTCATTCCTTTGTATAAAATGATATTGTTTGGAGCTGCCATGGCAATGCCACAAATTAGGCCACAACCTATGTATGATTCAGGCATTCTACACTGGAGGACCAATTTGAGTCCTAGTTGCTCTACTTTCAATCCAGCTTGCTGCTAATACCCCTGGGAAAGTTGTGTAAGATGGCCCAGACACTTGGGGCCCTGCCACCCAAATAGGAGACCTGGATGGAGTTCCTGGCTCCTAGTTTCAGCTTGGAGCAGATCTTGCCATTGTGGCTATTTGGAAAATGAACTAGTAAAGGGAAGATCTCTCTGTGTGTAATTCTGTCTTTCAAAAAAATAAGTCACTCAAAACCAAAATGATGTAATATTTGTATTGAATCTATACACAATCCCCAATACACTTTTTAGAAAGTTTTTATTTTTATGTATTTGAAAGGCAGAGTGGGCCATCACTGTGGCATATCAGGTAAAGTTGACACCTGCAATGCCAGGAGCGTGTCATAATATGGGCTTGTGCTTGCATGCCCACTGCTTAAGAGTGGATCAAGAGCCCTATAATGGCCTGGAGAAAGTGGCAGAAGATAGCTCAACTATTTGTCCCCCTCAAATCCACGTAAAGACACTTGGACGAACTTTCAGGCACCTGACTTTGGCCTAACCAACACTGGCTATTGTGGCCATTTGGGGAGTGAACCAGTAGATGGAAGATCTCAGTGTCCATCTGTCTCTCTTTTGCCCCTGCCCCCATAACTCTTTTTCAAATAACCACAAATAAGCATATTGTAAAAAATGAAGAAAGGCAAAGATAGATGAGACAGAGGTACACACACACACACACACACACACACACACACACTGATCCTCTATTGGCCCACTCCCCAAACATAATAGCTGGAAATGCGAGACACTGAACTTGGGACTCCGGGACTCCATCTGGGTCTCCCACATAGGTGGCAGGACCCAAGCATTTGAGTTGTCACTTGCTGCCTCCCATGCATCAGCAGGAATTGGAAGTGGAGCCAGGACTCATAGCCAGGCACTCTGATAGGAGATGGGGCATCCTAAGCAGCATCAGGAGCTTCTTCCACATGCCCTGTGTGCAGGGACTTCAGCACCTGAGCCATCTGAACACATTAGCAGGGAGCTAGATCAGAAATGGAGCAGCCAGAACTTGAACTGGTGATTTGTGTGCTCTCGCCCTGCACTGCCAGACCTCCCCCCACCATGCTGTGAGTTGGGGAGAGCTGCCAGTCTGGGCAGGAAAGCATCTGGGCTTTCACCATCAAGTATGATGCTAGTGCAGGGCTTTCTTACAGATGCACTTGGCCAAGCAGAGAAATCCCTCTCTGGTATTACTTCCTAGGAGGTTGCTTACTTTTATCATGAATGGGTGAGTAAATGTGCCATGTTTTTCTGCATTGATTAATGTAACCATGTGAGCTTTCTCGTTGGGATGTTTAAAACAGTGGATAGCATTGGTTTTCAGATATTACACAGTTTTACAGCCCTGATGTAAAACTATTTTCATACACTGCAGACTTCTGTTTGCTAATGTATTAGGACTAATTTTTTGGGGGGGAAATCTTATTATTTCAACTCAGGGAGACTAGTTTTGGACATCTCACCTCCAGAACTGTTCAAGAACACGTTGTGTTGCTGTTAGGCACCAAGGTTTTGGCAATCTGTAACAGTAGCCACACCCATGCCTTTCCCATCCACAGTAAATCAATTGAGCCACAAAAATATCATATGGGGAAAACTCCAGGAATGAACAATGGAGAGCTGTAGTAGGCATGAAAGTGGTACAATGAAGTCCACCCCAGCTGACTCCCTGTCCCCAAGTCTCACCTGCCTGCTAGGTCCTCAGGAGCCAGCTTGCTGATCCCTAAGTCCCACCTGCCTGGCGGTCCTTCAGGAGCCAGCTCTGTTAGGAGAGTGACTCCCTGTGATTGCATTCAAGTAGCCTTGGTTTTACGTAATGACAGCCTCCAAATACCTGAGCAGTAATGTGGGCAGTTCAGGCACACCTAGGAGAAGCTGCCATGGGTTTTGTTTTCTTGAATTGGAAAGGTGAAAGTCCTTGACTTAACAAGGAAAGAAAAAAAAAAATCCTGTGCTGAAGTTGCAAAGCTCTGTGGTAAGAATGGATCTGCTTTCTGTGAAATCGACAAGACGGTTTTGTTGTGTTTTCCCGCTCAAGTTCCAAACCCAGTGTGTGCTATGTGCTTGGTTAAGAAGGAAAAGGTCCTAAATCTGTGTACATGTGTGGGAGAGGACATGGCTGACTCAGGTCTCAGCACCAGCATAGACCCCGGGCATCCACGGGAGGCTCTGTGGGCATGACACCTGCCCCTATCACCAGTGTTGATTGAGCACAGCTCTGGGTGACTGCAGGCCACTCCCCTCATTCTCTCCAGGGCCCTGGGCAGTAGTTTCCATGATTCCACTTAGCAGGGGCTGTCTGGGACAGCACGGCCCCTGGGGTGGGAGCAGCCCAGGCTGCCTCCCCTAGTTGCTGAGCTTTGAGAGTAAAGGAGGAAACACAGACATGGATGAAACCCCTCCCCCAGAAGGTCCCATTTGAAGATGTAAGGGGAAAATGGCAAAGTTGAAATTATTCAAAAGAAAAATCATTTGAAAAATTTTCATCTGATTATTTATTATACTGCCTTGGTGAACACCATCCCCAAGCATGGGTGTGGTCATCCCACCTGCAGTGAGGTGGCCAGGCTACACATACAACTGCCACTCCTGGCTTCTCCTGCAACTGCTCTCTAAGGAGCGGGTCTGTCTACTCGGGACCTGTACAAGCAAGTGTGTGTCACTGATACATGATCCCATGGGTTTGTCACAGGAGGATGTAAACTTGGTGACCATGTCGTGGAGCCAAGGTCACATCTGGCCCTCTCATTTGATACACTCAGTTACACGTGTGTACACTCCTCCCTGATAGTCAGGCTGGCACTGGCCATGCATACCCAGTCACGTCACCTCAGCTGCACTGATGAGGAAAATGGAGCTAGGCAGATGGGAGGCTCAGCCTGACAATGACCCACAGTGTCCACACCATGTCCAAAGACAGAACTTGTACTTTAAGCCCCAGATCCTCGGACCTGTCCTGTGCTCCTTGGGTGGCAGTCAGCCAGCCAGGGGCAGGGAGTGGAGTGGGGAGAGTGGCCTGTAGCCTGCAAAGATTGGTCTGGTGCATCCCTTGTTCAGAGCAGGAAGTCCAGGATGCTAACCAAGAGGCCATCCAGGGACCCTTGGCTGGCGGGGTCAACTTACCATCCTCGCTGAAGATGGGGGCAGTGTACAGGTAGTGGGTGATGTTTGTATCTTGCTCAAAAGGACACTCCACTTGTTTCCAGGTGATAAACTCTCCAACCTGCTTGGCCAGTTCCAGAAATTTCTGCCAGGGTCACATAAACACAAAGTGGCGGTACCCCAGTGCTAGATCCTGGGACACAGGTGATGGACAGCTGACCTCCCTAGCAGGAACTCTCTGTGTTTAGCCAGGCCCATGTGCCCTGAGGAACCCATGGCCCACACCCCAAAGCCCTCAGCTCCCCAGCCTGCAGAGGATGCCTGGGCCCTCAGACTTCCACTGTGTCCAGCAAGGGTTTCCATCAGTGTTATTTTTGTGACTGGTCCTCCTGTGTCGAGGTAGCATGCTTGCTGGCTTGTAGGATACTGCACCTGCAGTTGCATAAATGTATTGAGGTTCAGGAAAATTTCTATACAATTGTTCCTCAGCACCTATAGATGATGGGTTCTAAGACTCCCGTGTGTACCAAAATGGCTGCATGTGCCAGCCCTTACGTGGAGTGGCCTCATGTTGCACAGGCCCCCTCCACAGTCCCCTGTGCAAGCTGAGTCCCCTCTGGATGACTTAGCAAACACGGTATGATGTCAACACCACAGGAACAGGGCCTACACTGCAGTGTCGGGGGAGCAGTGACCAGACAGCATTTTTAAATGTTTTCTGTCTGTAGTTGGCAGAGTTGGCTGGTTGGCTGACACAAGAACAGCGAGGGCAGGCTGTACTTGGACTGCTTTGTAAAGAGTTTAATAACTTCAGAGAATTTTATAAAGCACAAAATCAGGCCTCAGTGTGGAGCACACATCATTCCTGGTGGTCAGCCCCGCCCCTCCCCCGCCTGCTCCCCAAACCTGGACCATATGAGGCCTCAGTTAGGAGTGTGCATTCCTGAAGGGCAAGGAACGGTCTCCCTCCAGTGGCCTGCAGTCAGGATAGACTACCAGCTGTGCAGCAGTGGGCATCCCATAGGTTCCGCTGGCACTGAGGGGTCAGCTGGGTTTGCAGAGGAGTTTGCTGACTCCAGACCACAGAGCTCAGATGTGTGTGAGTCCAGCTGGGAGGACTGCTCTCACAGCCTGGGGTGGGCCATATTGTTCACCTGCTTCTGATGACTCCACTGTGTGACTGGAACTGAAATGCCACTTCAGAGCAGGAGAGGCTGAGTCTCAGAGCCCAGTCAGACAGAGGCAGGTGGGACCTCAAGCCCTGTTGTGTCTTTCCTGAAGTCAGTGCTGGGTGTGTCTGGTGGGCTGTGCCCTGGGGGAGAGCCCACTCTTCCCTGCTGAATGGTGTGCTTCTCTGTTTGCCCTAGTGACCACATGATGCCACTAGGACTGCTGTCAGTGGTCACTTTAAAATGTGTGCTGGGTAGGGGTGGGCACAGAGAGACCAGCCTGGCCTTTCTTCTAAGGAGCCCAGAGACATAGTTCCTGACAGGTGGCTCCTGCCTTCTGGGAAGTCAAGGGGGTCCCTCTGGATAAGGAGACACTTGTGCTGATGCACTGAGTGTCCATGGGGGACAGCAGAATGCTGTCACTCAGGGCCCTCCCTTGGGATCTCTCCTCCCATCAGAACTTTGTCAGTTGTCACCGGGGGTCTCTGGGGCTCTTTCTCAATCACCTTGAACTCCTTAGGTCCAGCATGCAGTGTATACAACAGTGTATGAACCTCTGACTCTCCATTGGTGACTCGATGTTGGCTGTGATTGCTACACCTTGCCTCAGTGCCCCCCATTAGTCCAAACATGCAGAGACCCTGCCATGAGCCCCCATTCCCTACCTCGAAGTTGACGTGTCCATTGGGCAGGCGGTTGGCACAGCCCTCGTTCAAGAAGTAGATGTCCTTGATGAGCAGGCTGAAGAAAGGGATGACGATCTGCAAGGGAGGCCAGGTCAGCTCTAGGACCTGCAAGGTTGGCTTGAGGGCCCGAGTGGGGTCTGGGATGCTAGTTCTGGGGTACTGAGGACAGAGAAAATTGCTCAGACAGCCCCATGAGTCAGAAGCCTAATTAGGGTGCCCCATGGATGGGCGTTGATATGAGAAAAAAGGTACAGACCAGATAGCTCTGGAGCCAAACTGCCATCCCCCGCCCCGCCCCCATAACCTTAAAAGAGCTTATGCTCTTTGTGCTCTTGCTGGACAGAGGCTGGGTGAGAGTCACACAGCTGGATGGCCTTGCGGGCAGGTGGAGGCCTACACCCCAGGCCTCTGGCCCTTGTGCACTATGGAAGCTGTTTGTGATAAGCCTACATAAACGCACCTGGAACAGGTGTCACCGTCTGCTCATTTTGTGGCCTTGTTTTTGTCTTTTGTTAATCAGTAACTTGTCATCCTGTGTCCTTCATGGGTGTCAGATGTGGCTTTGGTGCACTTGTGGTGAGACCCAGTGCAGGGCACCCCCACTCCCTCTCTGTTGGAAAGGCCTGTGCTCCCAGCCTGCATAGGTGAGTGGGTCACTGATAACGCTACGGACTGCACACTGCTGCCTCCCTGCTTGGTGCACCTGCCCACTGCCACCACAGGAGAGGAAGCACTGTTATTGGCACCTCAGGCCACCCATGGGGAGCCCAGTGTAACCACCTGGCTGAGATGGCTGAATTGTGTCCCTCCTGGGGATACATTTGAGTCCCATCCTGGTGCCTGTGTCTGGGGTCCTCATTGGAGGGGTGGTCTCTGCTGGTGGGAGATAAGGGTGGGCCCTAGCCCAGTCCCTGGTGCTCTTATGAAAAGTGAAGTTTGGAGCTGGACCTGTGGTGTAGCTGGTAACAGTGACACGGGCATCCCATATGGCCACTGGTTCGAGTCCCAGCTGCTCCACTTCCAATCCAGCTCTCTGCTAATGCTGCCAGGAAATCAGTGGAGGATAACCCAAGTCTCTCTACCTACGTGGGTGAACCAGAAGAAGCTCCTGGCTTCTGGCTCTAGCTTGGTTCTAGCTGATTCTGCCACCTGGGGAGTGGCACAGCAGATGCAAGATCCCCCTCTCTCTCTAGCTCTTTCAAATAATTAATCTTTAAAAAAAAAGGAGAGAGAGAGAGAGAAAAGTGTGGGCCCTGTTGCCACCTTGACCTTGGCTTACTAGCTCCAGAACTGAGAGGCACACAACTCTGCAGTGTAAGGCACAGGGAAAAGCCACACCTATTCTGCCCCTGGCCTCTGGAGCTGGCCCGCTTGCTGCCAGTCCAGCCACATCAAGCTGCAGCCTATCGGCCTTGGGGACTGGGCAGCAGGTCCTGGTGGTTTTGAGTCAGGGAATGCTGGTGTCAGCTTCATTCCACGTGACAAGTGCTTGGCTCATCTGGGCAGGGCACAAGAAGAGCAGCAGAGCCTTGGCCCAGGTCACTCAGCTAGGGACCACCCAGATGCAGCAGGATGACAAACCACCTGGTTTGTCCAGGCTGGAGGAATCTCCTGATGCAGGCCCCTCATCACTAACCTCCACCCACTGCCCTGAGGGATGCCCCAAGGCAGCGACTCCTGTCAGCTGGGACTGTACCCTGAGAGCACCACGAGTGGACATGGCAGCTGCTGCAGACGATATAGTTGGACTACAACAGGGAGCAGCCAGGGTGGGTGGAGGAGTAACTCCTCAGCTACCTTCTCCCGGCTGCTGTGGGCAGTGAGTGAGCGGTGGGCTGCTCCACGCAGGGCTGTCCTGTAGTTACAGAAGTTCCCTGTGGGATCCATCTGGTGCTGGAAAAGAAGGGAGGTGCTGAGTGCTTGTCCAGGGCTATCTAGCCATCCCTGGCAGCCCAACAATCTTTGCTTACCTCCAGGATGAAAAACTTGGCTGTCTTCACCTTGGCCCAGGTCTTCTTCAGCCTGGAGACAGGGCTCATGTTCATGCCAGCTGGAAGAGGGAGGCCAGGCTGGGGAGGGCTCACCGCACAGGCAAGGTGCTGTGCACCCCAGCTGGCAGGCAGTGGGTGTGTGAGTGCAGCAGTACACGGTGTGCAGTTGGGCCTGGCGCACCTCTTCCTCACCTCTCTGGCTAGCATTTGCGTTGGGCCCTCTTCCGCAACACTGGCATCCCATATGGGCACTGATTCTAGTCCTAGTTGCTCCACTTCCCACCCAGCTCCCTGCTAATGTGCATGGGAAAACAGCAGAAGACTATCTTAGCCCTTGGCTCTCTGTCCCAGGGAGTAGGCGAAACTTGGAAAAAGCTCCTGACTCCTGGCTTTGGCCTGGCTCAGCCCTGGACACTGTGTGAGTGAGCCAGCAAATGGGAGATCTTATCCTTTTCTGTAACTTTGCCTTTCAAATAAATAAACCTTTTCATTATTATTATTATTTTCAAAAACATTAAATCCCCTCCCCAAGGCCTCTAGAACAGAGACTGTTGGCTACCTTGGGCCTGTGATGCCCAGCACAGGCACACCCACCCTGCTGGTGGGCTGGGTTACTCACAAATAATGGCCATCAGGGAGTTGAAGTTGCCAATGTTGAAGCACTCGCGGGCCACATCGATGAAGAACTCAATCACTTGGGCTCTCTGCTTCTTCTTGGCTGGCTGGGGACAAGGACACCAGAGCCTCAGTGAAGACCTGTTCCCATGGTCCCTCCCACACCTCCTCCATGTCCATTTCACAGCTGAGAAGTCGGAGTCCCAGGGCACTTCGTGGCAGAGGCAGCATACAGGGGGAGTGGCTCGATGGCATTGCCCTCCTCCCATCACAAGCCCTGGGGTTCTCGATAGTTTAGAACCCAATTTTGCCCTTTCCTGTACTGTCCTGCTAGTCCAGTCCTCACACAGGTAAAGCCCCATCAGGGTTGCCAGGCTACACACGTGTGTGGATGAGAGGACTGGGGTGGGTGCTGCTGACTTTGCACAGAAGGGTGTTGCTTGCCTGCTGGGCATATAGCGGGTCTTCTCCTGCCACCACAGCATGCTGCAGTCCTGCTGAGAGGTCACCAACCACCTCTGGGCAGGAAGACACTGGGTCCTGTCTGAGGGGCAGCCTGTGCTGGCAATGGTGGCCAGAGGTCAGCTGTCCTGGCCTCACGATGTGGGTGTTCACAACGGCCTGTCCCACAGCTCAACCCTGTGTGTTCCTGTTTGCCCTCAGGGGCACGGAGTTGCAGTAAACACCTGTTCCAGTTCTGTCAGTGCTGGGGTTGGGGCATATGTGGTAAGAGTACATACCCTGACACAGACCTATGTATGAGCCAGGGTCCAGGGAGAAAGAACAAAGGCTGGGCGCAGTGGGGCTGGGTGAAGACTCAGTGATGTGCACATGAGCTCCCATCTCTGTCTTCCTGCTTTCCCAGAAAGCCACAGGCCTGAGCTGCCAGGCACCATGTCTCCATTCCCCAAGGCTGGCTTGCTTCTCATCTATGTCCAGAGTGGTCACATACACCACTCGGCTGTGGGTCAGGCAGTCCAGGACACAGAGACAGCTGGAGAACTGGGGACTGGGAGCAGCAGTCCTTCACAGCGTCTGTGGCCCCACCAAGCTCCTGGAAGAGCACTGGGCTAATACCTGGGCTTGAAGCATGAGGCTCAAGCTGCCCTCCCTGCCTTCTAGTGCCTTCCTGCCAGACCCAGGCAGCCCTTGGCCAGGGCAGGCTGTGCTCACCCTGACTTCCCACTCACCATGCAGATCTCAGTGGCCACCAGGTAGCAGAGTCTGTTGAACCACTTCACGTAGGCCTCTAGGTTGCTGCTCTTGTCACCGAAACAGGGCTGGAAGAAACACAGGCCACGCTCTGAGCTTCCAGTCAGTAACTTCCAGGAATGCACAGTCAGTGTTGAAGCCCCATGGGCCACCTGGGGGACCCGAGACCCCCAAACCTCCCAGAAATCCCAAGGCTGTGTACCCTTGACCCAGATGCAGCCAAAGCAGCCACAGAAACCGTGTGGGTCCTCTGCATGATGCTGGCAACTTCGCCTCTCCATGAGATGCATTTGTAACCCCAATAACTGCCACTTCTATGTCATCTAACATGATGGGCTTTTCCAATCCAGGTCAGGCTTTTTTATGCTTTCCTCTTTCAGTTTGTAGACTGTTAATACAACACTGATCTGGGTCTGTGTAGTTCTTCTTTTCCCCCTCATTTTTGGATTTTTTTTTGGGTGGGGGGCAGATTTCACTGTTTAAAGAAGCCCTTGCCACAAGGCTGGAGCATTGTCCAGTGTTCCTGGATGCACAAAGGCCACAGCATGACCAGTAACGACAGCACACGTTAGATGCTTTACTTAGGTGGGAGCCGCCATGCATTGCAAGGACAATGGCAATGGAATGAATATGCATGTTAAGCAGCCTGTCTTGAGGCAAGCACACACAAACACAAAGTTTTATATTAACCTAGTTAATGATTAAGATGCTGGCTAGGATGCTTTGTTCCACAATAGAACACCTAGGTTAGAGTGCTGGCTCCAGCTTCTAATACCAGCTTCCTGCTAAGGCATCCTGGAAAGCAGCAACAATGGCTCCTGAGGTTGGCTCCCTGACATCTGCTCAGCTGACCTGGACTGAGTTTCCAGAGCCCAGCCCCAGCTGCCACAGGCATTTGGGGAGTGCAACTGTAGATGGGAAATCACTTTCTCTGCTGGTCAAATGAATAAACAAACAAAAATTAACAATAAAAAAGAAGAAATAAGTGAATGAATAAATTAAGAAAATACATATCAATGAAGTAAAAAGCTATTTGAAAAGACAAATTTGATGAGCCTTTGGCAAACTGATAAAGAAGCAAAGTGTTAGCAACAAGTACAGATGGGTTTGAAGAAATTAAACACATAACTGCAGAATACTGTGGCTCACGGGTGTCTGTTCATGTGGACACTTAGCCCAGGTGCAGGCTGATGGTGCTGTGGCACAGCAAGTAAACCCGCTGTCCGCATTGCCAGCATCCCACATGGATACTGGTTTAAGTTCCAGCTGCTCTAGTTTCAATCTAGTTCCTGCTAATACAGCTAGGAACACAGCAGAAGATGGCCTCAGTGCTTTGGGTCCCTGCACCCACATGGGAGACCCAGAAGTTCCTGGTTTCCGACTTTGGATCAGCCAGCTTCAGGCACTGCATCCATTTTGGGGAGTCAACTAGCAGATGGAAGAGCTCTCCCTCTGTCTCTCTGTCCCTTCCTACCTCTCTTTTGTAACTCTGCCTTTCAATAAATGAATGAATAAATGAATTAATTAATTAATCTTAAGGAAAAAACTTATGAGAAATGGTCAATTTCCTAGAAGTAGAAAAGACTAGAAAACTGGTCATATGACAGCTCAAGTAACAACAAGAATAATCAAGAAACAAATGAGACAGATGAATGTCTCAGCGGTGACAGTGCCTGGGTGTTGGTGGGCTGAGGAGTTGATTAGTGCTCGTTGGGCTGAGCAGCAACAGGAACTGGGCTTGTGGCTAAAACCACCTAGACTAATTGGACTCATCTGTATCCAATATCCTGCTAAGGCAGGACATGTTGGGGAAGAGTACATTAAGGAGAGATGAAGGAGCAATAAAGAGAGACTTCTCAGAGACTTCCACCATCTCTGGTTTGTTGTCAGTGCTTCATCCCCAGATCCTCTCTGTGTCCATGTTACTGGCTCTGTTACCGGAGCACCTGGGCCCCATGTAAACACCTGGGTTTGAGTCTCAACCTGCTCCCTAACCAGCTTCCCCGACTGCAATCTGAGAAGCAGCAGCTGATAGCTCCAGGATTGGGTCTGCTACCCACAGGGGAGATTTGGATGGAGCTCCTGGTCCCTGGCTGTTGGGCTTTTGGGAGTGAACCAGATTTGGAAGATCTCTCTCTCTTCTCTTAAATAAAACCAAACAGGGCCTGGCACAGTGGCTAAACAGGCTAATTCTTCACCTGCCACCTCCAGCATCCCACATGGGCGTTGGTTCTAGTCTCTGCTGCTCCGCTTCCAATCCAGTTCCTTGCTTCTGGACTAAGAAAGCAGCAGAAGATGGCTCAAGTCCTTGGGCCCCTGTACCCATATGAGAGATTGGGAAGACGCTCCTGGCTCCTGACTTCAGATCAGCTCCAGCCAATGTGGCCATCTGGGGAGTGAACAGAGGATGGAAGATCTTTATCTTTCTTTCTATCCTTCTGTCTGTAAATCTGATATTCTTCTTTTTTAAGATTTATTTATTTTTATTGGAAAGTCAGATTTATGGAGAGAAAGAGAGGCAGAGAGAAAGATCTTCCATCTGCTCATTCACTCCCCAAATGGCTACAACGGCCAGAGCTGAGCTGAGCTGAAACCAGGAGCCAAAAGCTTCTTCCAGGTCTCCCAAGCAGGTTCAGGGTTCCAAGGCTTTGGCCTGTCCTCTATTGCTTTCCCAGGCCACAATAAGGGAGCTGGAAGGGAAGTGGAGCAACTGGTACAGGAACTGGTGCCTATAGGTGCTTATAGGCAGAGGGGTTTAACTACTGAGCCATCACACTGGACCCAAATCTGATTTCCAAATACAAATAAATCTTTAAACAACAAGAAAAGCCTTGTCTCAGTACCTGAAATCATTCCTCAAAGAAGACTTCAGGTCCAGATAGTGCCACTGAAAAGTCCACCAAGTGCTCTAAGGACAGGTCACTCCAGGCTTCCACAATGTGGAAGATGTGAAGAACATCTTAACAATGGAGGATAACAGATCAGCCTCACTCTGGATTACAGTGGCAGAAATCCAAAACAAAGCACTATCAAGCAAACAGAATCTGGTGATGTATGTAAAGCGAATTTCCTTGTTGATTTTTATTGATCTCAGGAATGCAAGATTGATTCAACACTGACTACAAAAGCTAATGTAAATAGGAGAATCAAGATGGCGGAATAGGGTAATGACACATTTAAACAGACGGAGAAACATTTAATCAGGATGAAGCAGAGAGGACACATTCCAGGAAATAGGAGAGGACAGAACAGCAGCAGAGGGGTACCTGGAGACTGACAGACACAGGAGAGCAGCAGACACTACGGTGCAGTGTTGCAGTGACTGATACTCCAGCGGCATTCAGCTAACAGTGAACTGAACTCCACCAGCAATCAGGTGGGAAGGGACTTTCACTGGGAGCTTGGGAGGTGAATCCAGACAAAGAACTGTGTGTCCTAATGGTCCATTTGATTTGATCAGGAGCAGAGACAGAGCAGCAGGTCTCAGACGGGCAGTACAAGAACAGGGTGGATTTCACAGCCCAGTCAGCCCCCTAGAGCTGAATTGGGCGCTATTTTGCATAAGGAGGCAAGGGCAAGGGAAAGGACTGAGCATACACTGAGCTGGGAGTGAACTCATTTCTGACTCAGTGAACTGCATCAATGTGGTATGCTACAGGTTCCACCCAAGACAGGTCTGGGTAGCCCTCAGACATGACAGCTAGCAGATCAAGAACTCTAGTAGTGGCACATCAGGTGCCATCTCTTACACCGTGGCAAAAGTTTTAGGACTGCAGGGAACAACAGTGAACTGTGCATGTGCTGAGCTCGCGAGAACTCATTGAGTTCAGTGAATTGCACTGGTCCCACAAGAAAATAATACCGACTGTGGCATCATATGGGCCAAAATAGGTCCGTGTGCCACCAGACCTAACGTCCAACAGGTTCCAGCAAGATCAGCACCACCAACAACCTAGCTATATAGGACACCTGGTATCTCTCTAATCCTGGGACCTGCTCCAAACAGAAGTGGGAGAAAGGTTGCAGAAACAATGTTGCATCCTCAGCATGGTATCACAGGAAGTGGAGAGTGGTCAGCCAGGAGCTGGGGCTATGGAGACCACAGTGGAAATCTAACAAAAGAACCCAGACCTGGAACTCGCTGGAAGGAGGGGCACAATTGGCTGCAAGCAAAGAGTTGTGCACCAACTGCAATAAGTAAAATAGCATTGTAGACCTGTGGGTGATTCAGCATAGAAACCTGCCCCAAGACGAAGAATCTGATAACTAGAAGTACAATGACTAAGAGCAAAAGCAGAGACAAAGGCACAATGAATATTACTGAAGACTCCCCTGCAAAGGAGCAAAACCCTATGCCAACCTCAGAGTTAACCTAGGAAGACATAGAGAAAACGGGGCACACAGAATTCAGAAAACTCTTTATAAAGCTTCTGATCAACAATGAGAAGCACATACAAGAGTTCAAAGAATTTAAGAAGGCCAAATATAAGAATTATGGGATTCCCAGAAGGTGCAGAAAGAGAAACTGGTTTTACAAATATATTTAATGAAATAATAAAGGAAAATTTCCCTAATCTAGAGAAAGAATTGGGAAACAACATCCAGAAGGGGCGCAGAACTTCCAACAGGCTTGATCAAACGAGATCTTCGCCAAGACACATGATCATCAAGCTCTCTTCAATTGAACATAAGGAAAAGATCCTTAAATGTGCACGTGAAAAAAAAAATCAATTGATGTATAAAGGAATGCCGATTAAACTCACAGGAAACTCTACAGGCCAGAAGAGAATGGAGTGACATATTCCAGATTCTAAAAGAAAAAAAAATGTCAGCCCAAGATAACATATCCAGCAAAGCTTTCTTTTGTCTTTGAAAATGAAATAAAATTGTTCCACAGTAAAGAAAAGTTAAAAGAATATGCCTCTTCCAAACCTGCCCTACAAAGGATATTTCAAGATGTTCTCTTGACAGAGAAGAGGAATAGCACCCAACAAAACCAAAGGCAAATGGGGAGAACATCCCAGTAAAATGACAACAGAAGACTAAATCAATGAACAACCTGTTCCTAAAATGACAGGACCAAAGTACCACTCATATATATTAACCCTAAATGTAAATGGCTTAAGCTCAATCAAACAGCATAGATTAGTAGACTACATTAAAAAACAGAAACTGTATCTCATGGATTTTGAATTTTTTGTTTTTGTTAGTTTCATCTCTTCAAAGCAGTTTCTTCTGATTAAATTCTTCAATGACTCAGTAGATCATAGAACAGCATCATTTTCTTCAAGAAGGTTCTTGATTTTCTTTTTCATTTCTTCAGTGGCACATTAGTCATTCAGTATCATGTTACTTAACTTCATGATGTTGTTAATTTTTTTTCTTCTTGTCTTTTTTTGTTTTGTGGCTTTTCATTTAAGGGGAGTAGCATGTGATGGAGACTACCATATCTAGTAGCATGTAATTTAACTTCATGGCATTGTAAATTTCGATTTTTCTTCCTATTGTTGATTTTGTATTGTGACTTTTCATTTAAGGGAATGTACAGTAACTGTGAAATGGAGACTCACATATCCGGATGTGAGGATACAATTTAGTATGCATTTCTACTCCAGACAAAGATGGACTTATAATGAAATTGTTTACTGTATCTTCACAATAGGATGCTGGACTCTCTGCCATTGTCCACGCCCGCAATGATGGACATATAACTGTGTATGAAGAACTGTACTTTAGTAATGATATAGGGGAACTAGGTGGGGGGGCAGAAATTGGGGAGCGGATAAGGGAAATCCCAGGAGCCTCTTTAGCTGTATCATAAATAATAATAATAATAATAATAAATTAAAAAGATTGAAAAAAAGCTCATGTAAATAATCACATGACAGCTTAAAGGAGAAAAAGGACCAGGTGCTTCCCCAGGCTGACAGCAGGCAGCTAGACCCCTTGGGGCACACTGCTGCTGAACTGTGACTGGTTCCTTCAAAGTCAGTGTACTTGACATTATATCCAAGGCACAAGTGGGTGCAATATGCAAGAAAAGGAATTCAGTAGATGAGCACATTCTGCAGTCACTGGAAGTCACAACATTTCAGAGATTCATGATGGTCGAATAAGGCCCCCCAGTGTTCTTGGCTCAGGTCCTGTGAGGGCAGGTTCTGTCTCAACCACCACTCTTCTCAGATGATGGAACTGTCTGCAGGAAAAATCTGAGAGAATTGCAGCAGGTCACCAGAACCAGTGAATTTACAACATCACCGGTATACAACTGATCTGCGGAGGAAGTTATACTCCTTAAACCAGCAGCATGCAGAGAGGGAATACAGTATGTACACAATTGAGGCTGGGATACAGACAAAAGCATGCACATGCTTATTTCAAAACACACATTCTTTTTAAGCACTTAGAAGTCTAAAACACATTGAAAAATAGTCTGTGCAGACACATGATTTACACACAAGAGCAGACATATGCACAAGGTACCTAAGCAGGAAAAAATCTAACATGAATAGTATAAAATTTTATGGATAAAATTATAAGACAGATATTATGGGATAGATTTAAGTAAAAGGAGGAAAGTATCATTTTCATGAATATGAAGACACAAAGAAGTGAATTCTCCTCCATTCCCAAATTAATTCGTGTTTAACATTTTACCCAAATTTCAGCAGGGCTTCTCATAGAATTTGACAAAGTAAGTTTAAAATGTAAATGAAAAAAGCAAAGGGGCAAGGATAGCCATACTACTGCTAAAGAACTGGTAGGGTCTGGGGAGGGGTGAGGAAGAAGACAATTTTGCAGAGCTGGCATCCCACATGGGCACCAGTCTGAGTACTGGACTCTCTACTTCCGAGCTGGCTCTCTGCTAAGGAAGAGAAAGCAGCAGGGAATGGCCTGAATTCTTTGGCTTTTGCACCTGCACGGGAGACCCAGAAGAAATTGCTGGTTCCTAAATTTGGGCCAACCTAACTCTGGCTGTTACGGTTACCTAGGGAGCGAGCCAGTGGATGGAAGCTCTCTTTCTCTCCCTCACTGTAACTCTGGCTTTTCAGAAAGATTTTTTTTTTAAGAAGAACTGGGGAACCTGCCTCTCGAGGCAGCAAAACTCATCACAGATGTCACTAAGGAATGGGGAGCAACATGGCGCTCCCACGCATGGGTAGCCACGGGACAGAGGGCAGAGTGCACAGCCCTGTCAGAGGCTATGGATGGACAAAGGGCTGCAGGGAGCGTGGCAGGCAGCTGACATTAGGACACCTGACACGGGAGTGCCTGGCTGCACAACCCAGCTCTGCTCCTGATGTGTGCATTTCACAGGGGAAAAAAGCAAGAATGGACAAGCTCCACTGGGTGGTTTGACAGAAATATAAGAAAAAAAACAATTATTTCTAGCATCTAGGGGATGTAGAACAAGAGAAAGACTGGATTGTGCTGGGAGTGTAGGTTGACAGCCTAGCATCACCTGATGAGGTTGCCCATGCCTTCCCTAACCTGCAGTAATATCTGCCTCTCTGGGTGGTGTAGAGACTCTTAGACATCATGGGTGCAATGCTGTGAATATTTTCATGAGAATAATATGAGAGTGGCCTTTCCAATGTGTTTGAGATTTGCACTGGTGGTGCCAAAACAGTGGTGGGGAACACTCTTCAATAAAAGAAAAGTGAGTGTGACTTAAGCATGTCCTCACTGAGGCAAAGCCCTAAAACTCTGTTACAATCTCCACACATTCTCTAGATGCATCACTTCCCGGCAGTGTTGGGAGAGCACACAACCGATGAGGTAGCGGCAGCGACCACTGCGTTCCGGAAAAAGAATTTCCCTTGCAATAAGGACCAGCAAAATCTTGTCATGATGTTAATGTGTGGCTAAGATTTTTCTTTAATAAAGATTCATTTATTTTTATTTGAAAGGCAGAATTATAGAAAAGGAGAGACAGAGAGAGGGATCTTTCATCTCCTTGTTCGCTCCCAAATGGCCATAACATTTTCAGGATTGGGCTGGGCCAAGTCCAGGAGCCAGGAGCTTCTTTCGGGTCTCCCGAGTGAGTTTAGGACTGCCAAGCACCTGGGCCATCTTCTACTACTTTCCCAGATGCATTAGCAGCGAGCTGGATGGGAAGTGGAGCAGCCCGCACTGGAACCCTTGCCATATGGGGTGCCAGAGCCACAAGTTAACTTGTTATACCACAACACAGACCCCAATGAGTACATGCTGTTTCAGTTGTAAACACTGGCAGCTGTTCTACATAATCAGAAGCTCTCTTCAGTGCTCGGTAATGTTTAAGAGCATAACACGATCTAGAGATGAAAACGCCTGGGAAGAGATGACAGGGGGAAATGCACACCTGTAGACCCCTGGAGCCAGGTGTAAGGCAGATATGCTGCTCACAGCGAAATGACAGGGACAGTGACTGGGGCAGGGGCAAGGTCAGCAGCAGCACCTCAAAACAACCATCTGGTTTGGGGACCCCCTACCCTGTCACTGTCTTCCTGGAGACCAATCACTCATGGTCCTCTGCCTGTCTTTACACAAACAGACCCTGTTCCCAATGCTGCTTTTTTCTGAGTCGGGGCATGGCTGCATCTTGGTGAATATTCCACATCAACTCTTGTTCATTCTATTTATGGGAAGTTTCTTACTTTTTTTTTAAGATTTATTTATTTATTGGAAAGTCAGATATACAGAGAGGAGGAGAGACAGAGGAAGATCTTCCATCCGATGATTCACTCCCCAAGTGAGTGCAATGGCCAATGCTATGCCGATCCGAAGCCAGGATCCAGGAGCCTCTTCCGGGTATCCCACATGGGTGCAGGGTCCCAAAGCTTTGGGCCATCCTCGACTGCTTTCCCAGGCCACAAGCAGGGAGCTGGATGGGAAGCGGGGCCGCCGGGATTAGAACCAGCGCCCATATGGGATCCTGGTGCGTTCAAGGCGAGGACTTTAGCCACTAGGCCACACCGCAGGGGCCCGGTTTCTTACTTTTAATCAAGTCTCCAAGAGTAATGCAGCAATTTGCTCCCAGTCTGTGGTCCTAATAAGCACCACCCATCACAGATACTTCTGTCCTTGAATCTGTGTACCGGTGTGAGGTTGGGCAGAGCAGAAATGATTCCAGCACCCTAAACCAAGCAGACCCTCCCAGCCAGGAAAATTCCGAATGTAAAATCACCCTAATCTTGTCTGCGCAGAGGATCAACATCCGCGGTGATGAGTACCCCTTCTTCCACCTCCCATGCCTAAGATGTGTAAAAGCCCAGAGCTGTATACCTTGGCTGGCCATTTCCCTCACGTGGTCACCATGCCACGTTTCCCACCCCGGGCTGTCTCCCAGCAGGGAGCAGTCCGTCAGATTCTCTTTCTTTCTCTCAATCGCTTTCATATCGCTTTCACCTGGGTGTCCATCAGTACAATGAAAGGAGTCGCTTAAAGCGGTGTGCCAACGCAGTGCTGTCCTCCAACGTGGCGGCGCCAATTCTCCTCCTTCCTGCGCTACACAGTGACCTGTCCTGTCCTGTCAGGTATCCATCTGAGAGGCGGAAATGCACTTGTTTACATTCTTTAGACCCTAAGCTTCCGGGCCCTGGGAGCTGGGATCCGAGAGGGGAGAGCGGGCCCGGTGGGGGACTCAGAGCTCTCCCCAGCGTCAGGTGCTCGTGCTCCCTCGAGTGGCCGCTGGAGGGCACCGGCGGCCGTCGCAACGCGCCCGGAGCGCCCGGAGCGTTCCCGGGCTTCTCCAACTCTAGGCTGTGCGCAGCCTGAACTGAGTGGGCAGGGCCCTTCCAAACCCTCCCACTCCAGTGTGGCCGTCACCGGCCGAGGGTCGCTGTTGGATATGGGTGTACGTGTTTTCTACCTTGGTACTGGCCAGGGGATCCTTGTTCACGAAAGCCTGGACAAACTCCTCCGGCCCGATGGGACGCAGCCGTTCCTGCGTGGGGAGGGCGAAGGGCGGAGGTGTGGAGAAAGAGAGAAGATTCTGGAATTGCCCCTGAGGATTGCCTTGTGCCCACCCTTCCCCTTGGCTTTGCCGACTGTTCTGTACTGATCCTGATCCAGGCATTCTGTACTGACTGCTTGCCCAGGAAATCTAGCTACTATCAGCTAACTGACATGAGCTGCTGCCTCCCTCCCTGGGACCTACCACATTCTCCTCCCAAGCAGGAGGGACTTGGTGGATTTCTCTGGAAACCTGGAGAGGGTGGAGTGTACCTCCAGCCCTCATTTTTTTTTGGTCCAGGAGCTGCTCCTGTGGGAGATGCCTGCCACCTTGGACCCAGGCCTGGGGTTCTGTGGTGGAGCAGGCTGGAGTAGGCTGGCAGCCTGCTTCCAGCTGCTCCCTGCTCTGGATCTGTGCCTACTTACCAGCTCCACGTGAGTTAGCTGCTGGGCCAGCGTGTAGGGGTCGCTGCAGACCCCAAGGAGCTCCCTGTGGATGGAGGCCTGCGGTTTGGTCCTGTAGGAAATGGGCTTGTCAATGCCCAGCAGGCCTTCGGTCCCCTGGCCCAGGGCTGCCAGCTTCTGGTGCAAGTCCTGCAGTAGCTGGTGCATCCTCTTTCCATATGCCTGGTGGGTGGGGGAGGGCAGAGAGAGGGCGCTCAGGCTCAACACTTGTGTGTGAGTTGCCGATATGGGCCAGAGCGGGGTCTTGGGCTCTAGAGGCACGCACTGTTCCTGGGTACCTCCACAGGAAAGGCCAGGTCCCTGCAGGTGCTGGCAGGGAGGCCAAGGTCCATAGGAAAGGTCAGGTCCCTGCAGGTGCTGGCAGGGAAGCAGAGGTCAGATTGTAGAACTGAGGATGTGATCCCTAGAAAGTACATAACAGGGCAGGTGCTGGGGGCCAGTCACAGTGGGAAGGGGCCTTGGCCTCCCATCTTCCAGGCCTGAGACAGAGAAGCCTGCATCACTCAGCCTCACTGCGCCGTCCTCTGCCCCACCATAGCACTCATCCAGATCACCCTATAGGATCACTCCACCCCCTGCCCCACCTGTTCATTCAGGAATGGTAGTTCCAAGGGGTGGGGAGTTCTGTGCTATGACACCCAGCTGACCAGATCCCAGTCCTGCACAGAGCATGTAAACACTGCACTGAATGAGGTCCCGCATCATTCAGCTCTGGTGGACACGTTCCTGCCTGAGGCCACATGCTGGGCTGGGTGAAGGGGTGAGAGTCCATAACCTCCCCACCTGCAGCACCCAGCAGTCCATCTCCATGTTGAAAGCAGTGACTCCCATGTCAGACACTGCTTCCAAGGAAAGGGGCACCAGCCTGGCTTGGACCCACAGACAGTCCCCTCAGCCCCAGGGGTGGCTTCAGCCCCCGGTACCAGGGAGCCCCATTCTGCCCTGCCTGTTCTCTGGCCTCCCAGAGGCCTCAGACACACCGCTCTGAAAACCCCCATGTCTACCTCAAGGCCTTGGGCATGATCTTTTATTGGCATTGGACTCCACCCCAGGAGAAATCTTTTCAATGTCTGTGATTTTCTTACAAAGCATCTGTGGTTGGTGGAAGTGCATGAGGGGATGGGAGAAACAAGTTTGGCCAAGTTTTGGTGAGGGCCAGGTTTACTGTTAGTCCACACCCATTCGGGAGCACATCCCCAGCCTGACCTCTTCAGCACAACGGTCCCTTCCACCAAAGCCGTCCCCTCCGCAAGGCCTCACCTGTTTCTCACACAGGCCCAGGGTAGAGCCATGAGTGTCCCTTCACCTGTAAAGGAGGTGGGCCGCTCTGCTGGGGCATTCAGGTGATCCCCCCAGGGACCTCTGATGCGCACATTCCACCTGCTGCTTCTGAAGCTACTGGAAGTTCCCAGCAGGAGGCCCTGTGGAGTTGGGGCGAATCCCAGGAGGCTACAAGGGTCTTAGCAGATCCTGCCCCCACCTGTAATCTTGCTGCTCTTCTGGTTCAGCCAGTGCTGCCCTTTTCCTACCCCTGATTAGCACCCCTGACCAGGAGTTGTCCTGACCACTGGCTGACCCTGGACATGGGGCTGGTGCATAACACTCAAGATCCAGGCCCTGCCAGGCCAGGCAGGCCTAGTGGATCACAGACCAGAGGCCTCATATTGGTGACTCTCTGGCCATTGGGTCCCACTGGGAGAACAGTGAGGGACAGGCTGGAAGAGGGGTTGGCTTTGGAGGAGCTGCAGTGTGGGAGTGTGGAGGGTATGAAGGTTCTGGTCACCTCATCGCAGGGGGCGATGCGTCCCACCACGTCTTCCAGGTGTCCAATGGTTGCCTCCTCCTGGAAGTCCCTTGGGAAGGTCTCTGTCCACTCAGCCAACAACTGGAGCAGTTTGGGACCAAACTTCCGGACACGGGCCTGCAAGGTAAGCCGAGGATGGGATGTGCTGAGTGATGGGTGTTCCAGAACAGTGGGGCACAGCTGGTGGTGCTAAGGTAGGGAAGTAGGGCTTTATGGGTCCTCCACATGGAGGGGTGCTGGCCCACAGGGGAGCTGGCCAAGCCAGCTCTGTTTTCTGTGTGCATGGTGCCCCTTCTTCATGGCTGCGGAGAGAGTCTCAGTTTTCCCTGCGATGGAGATGGGGGCTCCATCTCCATTTTGTAATCAGCTCAACCCAGGAAATGTTTGGCTACTCAGAGTCACATGACTCTCAGCAGATGCAGTGCCCTGTAGGTGGACCCAGATCTGTGCTGGAAAACCAGAGCATTGCCCCATCAGGCACTGTCATTGGTTCACAGATGGCATGGCCCCAGCTAAGATGATAGACTGGCACTTGTACTGGGTCAGTGGAGAAAGGGGCTTGTCTTACCACATGGAATGCAGGAGGCCAGGAACCTTGGGCAGGCTGGGCCAATCAGCAGACCCCAGGGAAGAGAAGGTGGAACCCAGTGTGCTGGAGGGGCCTAAGGACCCAGCCCTGGGCTTCCTATGACTTCAAGGAGTGCATAAGCCATGGGGGAACTGCACAGGGGCTCAAAGGTCCTAGGTATCCATCCTGGTTCTGGGCCTCAGACAGGCCAGAGGCTCCTAGAGACTCCTCGTCAGGAGTGTAGTGACAGTTATCACTTGCTGAGAGGTAGGTGCCCCGAGGGCCTGTCTGGGGAAAGTCGGTATAGTCAGGAGACCCCCAGCCTGCCTTTCACCCCTCACCTTGTCCAGCACTGGCTGGTCTAGCTGCTGCTGTTCGATGCACAGGTGGCAGACTCGGGCCAGGAGCTCCCGGGGCTCGATGAAGAGACGAGAGCTGAGCAGGAAGGTGAAGATGTAGGCTTTCTGGGGGACACATAAGAGAGAGAGAGAAAGCAAGTTCATGAAGCAGGTGTGGAGAGTACACATCCCAGCCGGCTCCTCCCCTGGGCCTGAAGATGCTTGAGTCTTGCTCAATATCTCTCCCTGGCCTGGTCCGGCCAATGCTTTCAGCTGACGGCTCACCCACCTCGGGGTAGTAGTCGGCTGTGGGTACCAGGTGCTGGATCAGGGTGTCCAGGGAGGCGGAGGATGGAGCTCCGTCCAGGAGGGGCTGCCCGGCCTGTTCGCCATCTGTGGGCTCCGTGGGGGGTGGGCTGCGGCTTCCAGGGCTGACCACGGTGGAGGCACTCAGCGTCCGGGGCATGCCTGCCTGCAAGCAACAGCATGGGCAACTGGGGTGAACCTAATTGGGGCCTCCCAGCTGGTAGGGTTGAGTCTCCCATACTGGCCTCCTCCTTCCTCCCATTGTTTCTGTGTCCACTTGAGTCCAGGATGACTTCCTGGGAGGGCTGCCACAGCCCCCAGCCTCACAGCACAGAATGCATTCCCCTGCCATCCATGGCTCTCTCCTAGTAAGCAGCCACCTTGTTTCCACTCTCAATTTCCTGTTGAGGGACAGAGCCTGTGCAAGCTGTGACCACGAAGCTGGCCTGGAAGACTTGCTCACTCCTCCCTGCTCCTGGCTATCAAGACTGGGCCAGACTGAGGGGCTCAGCTGCAGCCCAGATACCTGTGTGTGCAGAGGCTCCTTGCCCTGGAGCTCCTGTGTTGGCGTTGGGGATGAGGGGGACCTGATGCAGTTGGGGCTGTCCAATACTACGCAAGGCCAGGAATGCCAACACATTTTTGAGGGCAGTGTTGGAGGCCGCAGCTGATAACACCGCACAGCAGACTGGGCAGATTCTGGTCCAAGGTCAAGGGCCCACATCTGGCGATGGCCTTCTTGTGGGCAGAGCCCCCAGGCAGAGCAGGGGATCAGAGGATGGGACAGGAAGCAGGCACATGCATGCATGTGTATGTGTTCTAGTTTCTCTCTTCTTCTAAAGGCACAAGTGCTCAGTCATGGGGCTCCACCACTTGCTGGAGACCCCACTTCTAGGTCCTACCAAATACCTCACAATGGGGTTAAACTCCAACTCAAGTTTTGAAGGGAACAAACTGAGCTGTACCCAAAGCACAACAGAGGTGCTGGATCCCACTGCTCCTGAAGCTGCCCCGTGGACTTCTCCAGGCCATGTCCATGTTGGGATTCCCTGAGGGGTGGTTAAAACCATTGCCTGACATGTGACTCTCCAGGCGCCTGTGGTTTGGTCAGCTGACCCATCCGGCCACCCCCAGCATACAATGTATGACATCTAGCAGCACGTACTAATAGCACTAACCAAGCCCTCTGCTCCCAACCCTAACTCCCACCCCTTGCACACTCAGCCCCCACTCCTGCAGAATTGACTGCAGATTTAGGTCCCCCGTGCTTCCTTGCAGCATGCCCTCTAAGGCCGCACTTGGTACTGCAGGGTATCGGCAGCTATCCTTGTCAGCTGAGCTGGGTGGTGGGACACAGCTGTTGGTGTAGGGTGCAGTGAGAGGCCAAAACGCTGTTCCTGTGTCCTCCAAACCTGCACCTCTTCTAGGGAAAGTCCACAGCACCTGCTCTGAGCCCAGGCGCTATGGCAGGGGCCTGGCCAGCAGGTCAGGGTTTCTGCTTAAACCCTCTACTGCTCCCATCCACTTGGCAGCATAGCTGCTAGACAAGCACAGGGCCCTCACAGCAACAGGCCGAGCCTAATGCTGAACCAGCATCTGAGCTGGATCCACAGGCTCATAATCAGCTCAACCCGGGGAATATTTCAATCTGCCTGCATAACCATCTGGTCCCTGCCTCCCCACTGGCCAGGTCCTGACACAGGCCCCTTCCTGTCTTGCAACTCCCTGAGAAACTTTGCAGAGACAGAGGGCCATGGGTGTCTAGGACTGACTTTGGAGTTTAGAGGGAACCCCGTGGACTGTGACATGCAGATACTCAGCCACTTGTGTGGGTGGCTCCATGGACAAACCTAGGCCTGGCGACAGATACAGTCTATAAAGATTTCACCTGCATCTCGGGACTGGGAAGGCGAGCTTTCTCTGGTCCTTGCCTAGCTCCGGCTCTGGGTCCCCACCCTCTCTTGCGATGACCATTAGGATCACTCCAGAAACCCCTCAAAACAAATGAACAAACATACAAACAAACAAAAAACCTAGAATAGACAGACAACAACAAGGAAAGCTTAGAATCAGACAGGAAATGGTCAACGTGGATTCACTCATACCTCACTAGGTGGGACACAAAGATTAGTTACATCTCACTGGGGTATTGGGGATTTCTCTGCACACCCCTCCTAAAAAAAAAATGTTCTGTACATGTGTCTTGCTAGAGTTATAAGCTAGTTCAGACCATCCGAAAAACAACCAAGTTCAGCAAAATCATGCTTCAACACTATGAACAGCTAAATACTAAAATGAAAATAGACACGAGACAGCTGAATAGTAATCTATAGCCATTTTGAGGTGTATAGAACCCAGTTGTATATAAACCAAAATTGAAATGTCTATGAAGAAGTCACAGGATGTAGTTAAGAACCTGCATTTTCCTATTAACATATTGGTTAATCAATACCATGTCAATTAATGCCATAATGTTGTAAATTGTTGTTGATGTTAAGTTGGGGCTTTTAATTGATTGGGATAATACTTTGCTGACTTTACCTTCAGACCAGAGATGGTCTCACCAAGAAATCATCGAACCCACTAGGATAATAAGATGCTGGACTTGGGCCTGGCACAGTGGCGCAAGTGGTTAAGGTCCTCACCTTGCACGCCCCGGGATCCCATATGGGCGCCGGTTCTATCCCGGCAGCCCCGCTTTCCTTCCAGCTCCCTGCCTGTGGCCCAGGAGAGCAGTCGAGGACGGCCCAAGGCTTTGGGACCCTGCACCCCTGTGGGAGACCCGGAAGAGGCTCCTGGCATGGGATCGGCATAGTATTGGCCGTTGCGCCGCTCACTTGGGGAGTGAATCATCGGACGGAAGATCTTCCTCTCTGTCTTTCCTCTCTGTATATCGCCTTTCCAATAAAAACATAATAAAAATAAATCTTTAAAAAAAAAGATGCTGGACTTTATGCTTGGTTCAATTTTCTCAAAGATGAGGCAGTTGTCAGGGACGGAATGGACTCTAGGATCCCCTTTGCAGGGCAGGGGGCAGGAAGTGCTGTGTGTTAGATGATGGGAGGGGCCACTGTGGGGTCTTTCTGAAGGGGCCAAGACGTCAGCACCTGAATTTGTTGGAGCACTTTATGACCTGGTCTTTACCAGGGTGCCTGCTTTGGGTTGCTGGAGATGGGCAGAGGGGGCTTGCTCAGATCCAACTCTGCTCTGAAGCAGCTAGCTAAGGGGGTGGCAAGGATGGGGTTGGCAGCTCCCTTGTGGCCGTGGTCTCCCAACAACCATTCCCCACCAATCCTGCTGCAGTCAGAACCTAGCCTGGACTCAGGGATGGTGTTACCTGCCTGCTGTTCCCAAGGGCCATTCATTCATTCTTGTATGAGTAACTCATGGCCCTGTCCCAAGCCCTAAGGGCAAGGTGCAAGCTTCATGAAGCCAATGATAGGACATACAAGGCGAAGCAGTGGCTGGTCATGGCCCCTCTGGGTTGGTGTCTGGAGGATGTGCCAGGTGAAGGCAGGGAGCCACAGGTTGTCTGCTGCTGGGCATTCCCCCAGGAGGTCACTCATGGCAGGTAAGGTCAGAGCCGCTACCCTTGAGGTGGGGTCCCCACCCGTCCTCCTGCTCCTCCTCATAGGTAAGCCAGGAAACTGGGCAGTGGGTGCCCCCACCAGCAGGGGCTCTGACCCGCTGGGATACATGGGGACTTGGGACATCTGCAACGAGAGCAAAGGGCAAACTGTGAGGCCATGATGGGGCCAGTGTGTGCCAGGCTGAGGGTGGTGCAGGCTCAGTGCCAGGGGCTGAGTGGCCACCTAGGGGGTCAGAGAGTGCAGGGGAATGGAAGGACATTACACATGTGTGAGCAGAAATGCAATCCCTGGCCCCATGCTCCATCTGCCCCTCCAGTAGGTGACTGCTCCGGTTCATTTCTTATCTTTCTAAAGTTTCTCTGCATAAGCACAGGACACAGATCTCCTGTCTTTTTATGCAGGAAGGTAGCACACCATTCCTGCCATCCTGGAAAGGGCTCGTTCACTTGCCAGGAGAGCCTTCTATACCCTCTTTTTGTCTTTGAATCCATCTTACAATTTCACATCTTTTGGTTTGTGCAGCAATAACTTTTCAAAAAAGATTATTTATTATTATTGCAAAGTCAGATATACAGAGAGGAGCAGAGACAGAGAGGTAGATCTTCCGTCCGATGATTCACTCCCCAAGTGACTGCCAATCTGAAGCCAGGAGCCTCCTCCAAGTCTCCCATGTGGGTGCAGGGTCCCAAGGCTTTGAGTCATCCTTGGATGTTTTCCCAGGCCACAAGCAGGGAGCTGGATGGGAAGCAGGGCTGCCCAGATTAGAACTGGGGCCCATACGGGATCCTGGCGTGTACAAGGCTAGGACTTTAGCTGCTAGGCCACAACGCCGGGCCCAGCAATATCTTTTTAAAAAATTTATTTATTTGAGAAACACAGAGCAGCCCCAAGTCCTGGGTCTCTCAGCGGGCAGAAGCCAGAAGCCAGGAACTCAATCTAGGTCTCCAACATAGGTGACATGGACCCAACTACTTAAGCTCTCAAGGTCTGCACTGGTAGGAAGCTGGAGTCAAGTTGGAACCAGGGATGAAATCCAGGTACATCAAAGTGAGATGCAAACAAAAGCCCAAGTGTCCATCAACCCATCAACAGATCTGCAGACCAAGAAACATTACTTAGCCTTAGAAAGGAAATTCTTCACACAAGAGGTGTGACTGAGCATAGACCAGGTGTGGCTGGGCTGCATTGTAGCGCCCCATAGTAAAAGCCAGAATGGCTGTGGGCAAGTCCATGGTTCCAGCCAGGACTGGAGGTGGACTAAGTCAGTCTGTCCAGAGTGGTACCCCAGAGGCCAGGGCTGGCATTGGCAAGGCCTGAGGTTGAGGCATTCATCTGGCCATGGGATGCCCTCACAAGGCGTGTCTGCTCCTGGCTCTCCCTGGCCTGCCGAGTGCCTGTGCCACTGTATGGGAACCACACATGGGAATGGCATAAAACAAATTATGAAAGTAGAGCTGAGAGGTCATTTTGCTGCAATTAATTCATGTAGTTTTTTCATAATGTGTATCTTAATAAATATTTTAGGATCCCTTCATGTATTATGGATTTCAAAATATTTTGTACCAAAATAAATTTA